GACGCTTGGATCCGAGTCGTTTTCACCAGCCCTCGCGGCCGTTTCCACTCACGAGGATGGTTGTTTTTCCTTTCCCCAGTGGAAGGTTTTTACCACTCGATCTCACTATACCGGTCTCCGTAATATATATTCCGGAGCAGGTCGTGAGCAGCCCTCGTGGCCTCACCTTCTTCTTTCCACTGCTCTCGGACACACTCCTCTGCGGGTGTGCGGTTCTGGTTCTTTCTCTTCTTCCTCTTTCTCTCTGCCGAGTGCTAAACTAGCCCAGCTGCTAGTTTGTTATGTATATTAGCAGAGCTGAGGAGCCGAGATTGGTGGCTCGCATTGTTTGGGGGGCTCGGCTGGATGGCGCAGACGAAGCTTATCGGATGGCGACACGCCTGCGACGGCAAGCGTTATGTCTAAACCAGGACTGGCTTGGCTAACCGGCTGGGTTAGCGGGTTGAGCTAGACTGTTCAGCTAGCCGGCTAGCTGTGGGTGTGCGAGTTGGCTCTCGCTGGTCTAGTGTGTGTGGGGAAAACGTCATCACCAAGGGCTACTCCAGTGAGATGACGGGTGCAAAAGCCCACACGCCGAGTGACAAAAGGTGGTGCAGTGATGGGCTAAGCGGCGAAACCTACCAAGAAGCTTCCTTCTTGACTAGAACAAACGAGCTACAAGACAATAGGAGGCGGTGGGCACTCTATAAAGCGAAGCTTGTTGGATACAAGGCAAATTCGAAGTGGGCACCGTTTTCAGCTATAAGACGCAGCGGAGCGGAGTGGCAGTGGGTGGGTGGTCTGCTGACCATTCAATACAAAGGTCCACACTACTATATCTAGAGAAGAATATGGCTTGTTGTGCAGTGCACATCCTAGAAGGATCTGCATCCGACGTGATCTCTACTATGCTATCAATAGCCGCCTAGGTTCCACCTGGGCTATGCAGGTTGGTAGATCATGCAAGCTCTTTGACCTAGCAGGATCTCCTGTATGTACTACACTTGACAAGCATCATGTCATGAGGATCCACTTTTGGAATCTCATTTACACTCATATTTACTCTGCACCATGTCCAAAAACTAACGGTCTCCACCGTCCTTGCTGCCACTTGCATTCGTTTCTCGAACTCCGAGCACGTTTGACGCGCGCTGTGGTAGCCAAACTTTAGCCTTGGGGATGGCGCCGCGGGAGCGCTAAGAGGCTACGGGCGTTAGACATCTGCTCCTAGGTGCCCTTGGCCACGATCTCTATCTATGAATAGTCTTTTCTTCGATTTCGTTGGCGGCTTTTCGCTTGCTCGTCGTTCCGCACTAAAACTTCTTCTTGGAATCGACTCTTCGAAGCACGATTGTAGCCACTGAAAGACAACCGTTGTTGTCCGTTATTCCACAGAAACATAATATGCGGTCGCGTCGGCCACCCGTCGGCTTGTCTTCAATTTCGAGCTTTTGAGCTACCCATCCACTGTGAGCATTCCGAGTTTGACTCCTCGAGCGACATGCGCCTGCTGTATCTGTGGCCTCTTCTCGCGCTCGTGGCCCTCGTTGCGGGCCAGACGACAGTCAACTGCCCGAATCCTCGTGTGCGCAAGGCCTGGAGCGCGTTTTCGCAGACCGAGAAGAGCACTTACATCGACGCTGTGAGCTTGGCGATGAAGAACGGGCTGCATCAACGCTTCGTCGAGGTCCACATGCACCCCGCGTCCGAGCGCGAAGCCCACGCGTGCATGTTCATCTACTGGCACCGTGCGTTCTTGCTCGCGTACGAAAACATGCTGCGGTCGCTTGGCGCGCAGTTTGCTTGCGTGACGCTTCCGTTTTGGGACTACCCACGCCTTGGCGCCAACTTTGCCGACCGGCAGTGTCGCAGTATGCTCGAATGCAGTGATCTCCTCCAGGACTTTGGTGGCTCCCTACCCCGAGGTAACAATTTCGCCGTGGTCTTTATCCCTTCATCCAACGAAACGCATAGACAGAAACGGTGTCCGCAGCCATACGGTGAGCGGTGTTTCGTTCAGGTCGGACAACTGCGTCTCGTCGCGCATGACCGAGAACTTTTGCGAGAGCACGGCCGCGTTCAACCGGAAGCAGTGTCTCGGCTGCATGCCCCGAAACGACTGGTCCCGGGCTCCCGTGCCGGCGGAAGTGAACCTTCAGAGCATCTACAACAGTGTTCTCGGCAACGGTCGCCAGACACTTGAAGGCGTCACGGCCGGCATCCAGTATGGCGCACACAGTACGCGCGGATCGAGATTTGCCCCTCTAATGGGGTTGCGTAGACATGGTACACGGCGCCCTCGGCTCTGTCATGGGCACGTTTGCGTCGCCCGCCGACCCTGTCTTCTACGCCCATCATGTACTATTGATTCAGCTCTCGATGGGCTCAAATTGACGTAAGCGCTAGACCATGATCGATGCGCTGCACACCGTCTACTACGATTGCGCTGTGCGCAATGCGGTGATCAGAGACCGCACGAGAGACCCTCGGACGTGGACGTCTTGCCGCAACTACTTTGGCAGGACGATCTTGCCCACCGACGTGATCATGATGCAAGTCTCGGGGAGAGGTAGGCCCGATCCTGGCGTGGCCAAGACGTGCGGAGAGTCCATGTCTAGACGGGAGATTTACATCGGTGTGGAACGCGGCCAACAACCCGCTCTACGACTTCTTCAAGGATCTGCCCCAACGGTACATTGATTACGCGGACACCCTCGGCATCGCCAAGCACCAGTACCAGTACACGTTTCAAGGCACCACACTCGCGGACATGAACACCCAGTGCTACCGCTTCCAGGCGACCAGGCGCTTGCTCGCTGAAGAGTCCGCAGGCTACCCGTCGCAAGCGTCCGTGTATGGCGTGGTGAAGGACCCGAAACAGTGCCTCGCGAAGCAAGCGAACTGGATGGCCGACGCGACGGCCCTCGCGTCCAAATTCTACAAGAACCCGAGCGACGTCAACAACCAAGTACAGATGATGCTATGCGTCTACTACAACGAATGCCTCGGCGGCGTCTTCGACTACTCTGATACGTTCAAGGAGAACTTCCGTGCCCTCGTCAAGCCGCCGTGCCGCCAAGTCATCGACGACCTGGCACGCAACGATTGTATCATTGGAGTCGTCGGCTGGGAAAAGGTGCTCCTGAAGTCCTATACGTGCAACAGCCCGTCCAGGGAGTTTGCGTGAGCGGTGCTAGGTGCACAAAGCCGCTGAAAATGGATTGCGTAGCCACTGCATAGTACCATGTATACTTTCGGGTGTAAAATGACCAACACGTCCTATTCAATGTATACGCTTGTAATACACGCTCGAGCGTCAGAGGTTTATCTTGCGTCAAAGGTGAAAGCAACGATAACTGAACGTTGAGGAAGAAAGCCACTTCCAGTGTGTGTCATAAGCAATCACTCTTTCAACTTGTAATGACAAATGTGAGTAAGCTTCCGTTTATACCACCACTTTTGGAAGCAGGCACGCCACGTAGTTTGATTGGCGAGTCGATCTTTTTGGAGTGATGGACGAAGATGGATTGCCATTCCGACATGCACTCTTCTCGTCGCCTGGTTTGCCGTCATTAACCAAATCGAACCACCGCATTTACACTACACGATGTGCACTGCCTCGCCTCCCGGCACAACGCCATCCAACTTAGATCGTGCGACGACCACCAGCCACAACGACGACCGTCCACACGATGGATGTCGCTGCAACCGCAAGAAACACAAGCACGGCTTTGCCACGTCCGCCCTTGTCGGCTACATACTTGGCTTCGCACTTCGCACGCTCTGCGCGTGGCTCGTGCCGCTCGGTCTCGCATGCGTTTTACTGCGCACGGTATACAGCCAAGACGTCGTCATTGTGCAATGGGGTGCGCTGTTCTCCAAGCTTCGCCAGTCGGAGCTCTACCGCAAGTTCAACGACTTCTGGTGCGCAAACGACAGCCTCGTTGTCATCAACTGGGACAAAGTCCATTCGTGGTTCAATCCCGAGACACACGTCCTTCACTTGAAGCTACCCGATGCGCCGTCCATGCCCGGCTTCCTCTTTGGGCTCGTTATTGCTTACAAGTGGTAAACTTCATCCACGCGATCAAGCTTTTGCTTCAGCATATTGTTTTATTCATTTAACAGTGGCGAGCATTCTCAGGGGGCAAAAGGCGTCATGCCCTCATTACTACCAGGACCTCGGGTGAGGTGCGGCGGGTATTCTCTTGGCTGGTATCTTCCGCCCATTCGTAAAAAGATCGTTTCGACGTCCTACAGGTGCAATACACCCATTATGAAGACATCGTTAGCGTTCGTTTTGGCCTTATTGTTATTTTGTAATTTCAGCACCCAGTTGATTGATGCCCGACATTGCTACAGTACTTGCGATCGAAAGAGAGGAAGGAAAACAAGTAGAACGTCGTATTTTGATGGGTTGTAGAATAGAACGTCGTCCAACTCCATGGACCCCTCCCAACCCCACACAAAACGTGCACTAAATCCTTCCCCACGACCCCAACCCTCCTCGTAGCCACGGCGTTCGAATCCCCGCAATATAGGGATACCAATGACGCCCTCATACAACCCAAAGTCCCAGGAAACATTTGGACGATGCTCTTATTTAAAAATTCCCTGAAAACAACGCTCGATTTGATTTTCCCACTTGCGATCCCGAGGCGTACGCCTCGAATCTACGGTATCCAGACGTGGCGGGGGATGCGTTGATGAGTTGGCACTAGGGAAAAATGTCAAAGGGTCGACCTTAGAGCTTCTCGACCACCTCAAGTAACCCTGTCATGTCTTGCTGTGTTCAAATGTAGAATCAGTTAGCGAAAAGTGCTAGAGCGTGCTGCTAGATTCGGGTGACGCCTTTCAGGTGCCTGTGGTGCTGGAGCTACCTAGATACAAAATGCACTAGTAGTTCACAGTTGGCGTTGTTGGCGTACTAGCACGATGCGATGGCCGAGCGGATTAGGTCGCAAGACCGCGTGACATGCTTTATTGCGACGCTGCGACCAAACCGGTGGGAAGGAAGGAGCATTGCGAGCTTGCCTATTGGCGAGGCAGGTCTCGTTGACCCCGTGTACTAGTGCCCAGTCAGATGTACATAAATGTAGATAGATGCATGTACTACTAGTACGTACTTTAAACGTTGTGGTAATATAAATCAATTACTATCTCTTCGCTTCTAAAACATCATGGACGGGCTGTTACATGAGTACCGTTTGAGAAGCAACGATTCCCAGCCTTCTACGCCAATCACGACATCGCCCCGCGCGAGGTCGTCGATGATGCTCTTGCAAGGCGGCTTGCCCGTCGCATGAAAACTGGTCTTGAATTCGTCCGAGTAGTCGAAGACTCCGCCGAGGCACTCGTTGTAGTAGACGCACAACATCATCTGGACTTGGAGGTTGACGTCCTTCGGGTCTGTGTAGAACTGGGCCGCAAGCCGTGTCGCGTCCTGGAGCCATGAGATCTCGGTGGAAACTTCGGTTGACGTCGACGCCTCGTTTGGTTCGTACAGGAACGACGTCACCGAGGGTTGGAACTGAGTGCACTGCTTGTTTATCTTGTCCAGCATGGTGCCCGTAAAGTTGTACGTGTACGAGTTTGCGCCAATCTTCGTTGTGTCCGTGTAGCCCGTGTAGAGCTTTGGGATGCCCGCGAAGTACGGGTTCAGCGGGTGGGACGACAACCACACCGATGCCGGCTGCGTTCCTGGTATAACCATGAAATTCTCCAGCATTCGATTCGCAATCCGTACCAGAGTTGCCCCCTTTCATCGCGATGACATCTGTCGGTAGGATCGTACGGCCCATGAGGTTGCGACACGAGCTCCACGTTCGCGCATCGGCGCCCTTGTTGATCGGCGGCTTGCTCGCCACGACGCAGTTGTAGTAGATGGTGTGCAGTGCGTCCGCCATGGCCTAAATCGACGTGAGGCGCAGAATCGCCAGACTCGCATACGTGGTGGGTGTAAAAGACCGGATCGGCCGGCGACGCAAACGTTCCCATGACAGCGTTTAGCACCGCGTGGACCATGTCTACGAAGAATTAGGTCCAAAATAAAAACACGCGGAACGTACTGTGCGTGCCATATTGCACACCGCTTGTGACGCCGGCAAGCGTTGGCGCCACGGTGCCCAAAATGTTGTTGTAGACACTGAGGACGTTGACATCCGGCGGCACGGCGACCCGCGACCAGTCGTTGCGCGGCATACAGCCGAGGCACGACTTGTTGATGAATGCCGACGTGCTTTGGCAAAAACTGGACGTCAGATTCGACTTGATGCAGTTGTCGGACTGGATAACCTCGCCATTGACCTTGTACGTCATGATACCCGCTGGCCCTAACCGCATTTATGATGCTCACGCAATGTAGATGTAGAGCACCGCACCTCGTGGAAGAGACCCGCCAAAGTCCTGGAGAAGGCTACCGCAGCTGAGCATGTTCTTGCAACTGCCCGCGATGAAGTTGGCGCCGATCGTGGCGTAGTCCCAGAACGGAAGGGTTACGCCGGAATACTGTGGACCGAGCGACCGCAGCATGTTCTCGTACGCAAGCAAGTACGCGCGGTGCCAGTAGAAGAAGAGGCAGCTGTGGGCTTCGCGCTCCGAGGACGGCTCCATGTGGACCTCCATGAAGCGGTGGTGGAGGCCCTTCTGCATCGCCAGCGCCACGGCAGAGATGTATGTGTCCTTCTCGACGCGCGAATATTGGCTCCACGCACGACGGACGCGCGGCGGCGAGGTCGTTTGGGTCGTCTCGGCCCACGCAACCGCAGCGATCACGAGCAGGATGGTGAGCAGATACGATGCACGCATGTTCGTGTCAATCCAATTGTGTCGTGCTCTTGCATTCGCTCGACTTGTTCGACGTTCATTGCGATCGAAGAAGAAGAAGAAGAATGCCAAATTGTTTCGAAAGGAAGGAGTCGCTGCTACCGGAATCGACCATTTAATTGGGCCTAGTATCGAGCGTTGCCGGTAAAACCATTTCTTCTATTGTTTCAAAATGTTAGTGTTGCGACCTTTTTTCTATTATTTTCAACGTTGGCATTCCAACCTTTGTCGACGCCACGATGCCCGATAATCACAAGACCCGTGAATGGATCGTTCACAATGTCACGAAAGGTTTCGAGTGCTTCTTCAAACTAATCGCCTCACGCTAACACTTGTTTTCCATAGACGCATGCTAAGTTTTGGTCAAGGGAATAAATAGTTATTCCCTTGGTTTTGGTCAAGAGTACATAAATAACCAGTTAAGTATGCACTCTTGGTTTTGGTACACACGCTAAGCGATTAGCGATGGCTCTTGCCTCGTGAAATGGAACATGTTATACCCACTGATTTAGGAGCAAAAGTTCATTCATTATGCAATATCTTTCGTGCGTGCACGAGCGGAGGGTTGTGAAAATCGTCGTCAAAATTGATGCCGTTGCTCTACAAGAAGAGCGCCGAAGCGCCGTTGCACGGGTACGTCTTGAGCATCGTACGCTCCCAGCCGGGCACGCCAATGACGGTGTTGCCGCCGGCAAGGTCGTCGACGATGCGCTTGCATGGAGGCTTCTTGGACACGTGGAAGTTGGTCTTGAACTCGTCCGAGTAGTCGAAGACGCCGCCGAGGCACTCGTTGTAGTACACGCACAGCATCATTTGCACTTGGTGTGTGATGTCGGAATCTTCCGTGTAGTAATTCGATGCGAGGATCGTCGCGTCGCGGAGCCACATGCTCTCCTTGGTGGCAGCCGCACTCGGCCGACCGCCGTCAGTGGTGAGAAGCACGGCGCCCGCGGGCTTGAACGCAGTGCACTGCTTGTTCATACCTTCCAACATCGTGCCCGTAAAGTTGTACTTGTACGAATACGCGCCGAGCTTGGTCGTGTCCGCGTACGGAAGGTACGTCTGCGGAATGCCCTGGAAGAACGGGTAGATCGGGTTGGACGTAGCCGTCCAGATCGACGCCGGCACCGTGCCTACGCCGTCGTTTTAAGACCATCGATCCACGTATCAAGTTGATACGATACCTGCTTCGCCAACCTTCATCGTGATCAAATCCGATGGCACAATCGTTTTGCCCGCAAAGTTGCGCGTCGTCGTCCACGTGCGGTCGTCGTCGTACGGGTTCTTGGGCGGCACCCCGCCCACGACGCAATTGTAGTAGATCGCGTGGAGCGCGTCGGTCGTGGCCTAAACACCGTCCGTCAACAACGCCCTGTGTATATATAGGCGCGGACATGGTGGGCGTAAAACACCGGGTCCGATGGCGACGCGAACGTGCCCATCGTCGAGTCGAGCACTGCGTGCACCATGTCTACTCAGCGACGCGTGAGATGATCGGCCACTTGACTTGGCGCGAGTACTGTGGGTGCCCCATTGGACGCCGGACGTGACTCCGTCGAGGTTGGGGGGCACGTCCCCGAGCACATTGTTGTAGATGCTGAGCGCGTTGACGTCCGGCGGCACGGCCGCCTTGGACCAATCGTTGCGAGGCATGCAGTTGAAGCATTTGTTGCTGTTGAACGCGGTCGAGTTTTGGCAAAAGTTTCTCGTCAGCGGCGACACGACGCAGTTGTCGGCTTGAAACACCTGCCCGTTCACGGTGAGCGTGTACGGACCCTTCGCCGCTACGCACGCTCGAGTCGTTACTCATTGCTCTCTCTCTGTGCAAGTAGAGTACCTTGTGGCAGCGACCCGCCAAAGTCCTTGAGGAGGGGACCGCAGTTCAGCATGTCGGTGCACTCACCAGAGATGAAGTTGGCGCCAAGCGACGCGTAGTCCCAGTACGGCAGCGTGATGCACGCAAACTGAGGGCCGAGCGACCGCAGCATGTTCTCGTACGCGAGCAAGTACGCGCGGTGCCAGTAGAAGAAAAAGCCTTCGTGCGCCTCGCTGTTGGACGCGGGCTCAATGTGGATCTCGACGAACCGGTGGTGATAGCCGCGCTTCATGCCCAGGCTCACGGCCTTGATGTACAAATCCTTGTCTGCTTGGCAGTACTGGCTCCACGCACGCCGAATACGGGGCGTCGGGCACGCTGCCGTGCCGATCTGGGCCGAAACGACGGTAGAGGCGATCTGGGCCGACACGACGGCAAGGGCGGTGGCGAGGAGGTACAGGTAGCGCATTGGTCGCAAATCGAGAAGTGCGATCGGAGTGCTCCGACGCAATGTCCTCGAACGACAACGTTGGCATCATATGGGGCATAGAAGGTTCGTTGATTTGTTCCTGGACAATCTGCGCTTTCATCGATTTCGAACGACGAATTAATCGAAATTGACGGTGTCGAAGATTATCGCGGATGACCGAAATTCTCTTGTTCTTTGTCGACGTTGCTACCCACCTTTTCCTGTTTGAGCCCGCGACGATCGCCGGCGCGCAGTGCAAGTCTCCTGGGTGGCCCAGCGCTTGAGCCCATCGTCGCGAGCGTCCATTTGAACGCTGCTCTATCCATCCGATGTCATCAGTGACGTCCCTCTTGAAGTGTATGCGGATCCGGAAGAAGATACACCAGCCTGGAAATGATTGCAAAAAAGATTCCGCGCCAATGACCACCAAGCGCGGCAAAGTCTCGATCTCGATAACCTTCGACGCACTCACCATTTATCGAACGTACTCGGCAGCACCGAGGCAATCGTTGTCAGTACCAGTCTCTCGGGGAAGCTTGAGTAGCTAGCCTCATCCTCTATCAATTATGCCTGTTGTCGATTCCTGACGCTCCGATACGTACTAGTACCGTCATAGCCACAGTGCACGTAGTAATAGTACAGTATTGTACATTCACCTTGACGTTGTGAAAGATCAGCGGTAATTGTTATCCAGCATTGTATAACAGTATCCACTGGTATGTTGCCGTGGGCAAGGATCTGTGTGTAATGTTGTGTTCGGTGTCGCGTCACGCAGTTGCTTTGGGGCAAGGCCGCCTTGCCGGCTCCATGACCAAGGCTCTACTATCTCTGTGCTCTACCGTCGCAATGCGATGCGTACCTCGTCAAAATGAAAACAATTTTGTCGCGTGGCGCCAATGCAATCGCTCTCTGCGCGCTCGCGGTGCCACGTGTGTGTGACGAGAAAATCAGGCTGGAAGCTCGTGAAAATCGCGCGGGGTGTGCGCTGGAGTGGCATCGCCGAGCGTCGATAGAAAGCTTTCCGCCTGCTGCGCCACCTCGCTCCTCTATTAGTGAGTGCGCAGGCAGCTGCGGCAGACTGCCATGGTCCTCGCGAGAGTCGCTGGCCAATCGGCGCGCGTTCTCAAAGTGGACGTTTTACATGTTGGGTTTGTAGGTCGGCGGAATAAAAATACGGCGCAATAAAATGAGCGGTGAATTTCCATTTCCAATTGGAGCGGATGCGACTGCGGCACCTGAAAATCCCCTTCTTCCTCGCGATCGTCGTCTCGCTCTGCTGCTGGTGCTTGCTCGTCGTGACCTTCACGGGCGCGCCGACGACGACGATCCGCAGCTCCAAGTCCTACTTCGCCGATGTGCTCAACCGCGCCCGCTTCCAGGTCCGCGACAACCAGCCACGTGCCAATGGCTCATGCCTCTGTAGAAGCAGATATCGCCGACGATGATGCAGCCGCAGAACCGCATGACACTGCCGCCCGCGCCGTACTGGCGAGTTAACAGCACCAAGACCGACTTCGAGTGCTTGGGCTGGCGACAGACAGGTCTGGCGCGCAGCATACCATCCAGTGCCATCTTGACAAGCACATGCTAGGCGGCTGTTCGCCCGATGGTCCGCGCGAAATGAACGAAGACAAGCCATGCGATGCCAAGATTGAAGCAGGTCCGTCGCGATATGCGAGGTACAATGGATGCATTGAGTGCTTAGGCACGTCGGGCTATTGCGAATCCATCCACCGCCCGTCCGGTCAAGTTGTGCGCAGCTTCCAGAGCACGTGCGATGGCATGAAGTACGGGTCTCACTTTACCTGTTCGCAGACAGGGTATGCTGCTTGTGCTCGGCGTTGGATGTTGACATTCTTGTCCAGGGAGTTTTTGACGTACGCCGACATGCCGCTGACGTACAAGGTGCGACTCTTTCAACTGCCCGTGAAGGTGTCGATCAAGAAGCGCTTCGACCTGTCGCGCGGCGTGGTCATGGCCGTGTACCCCAAGGTTATGAAAAGCGCGTATGCTGCGATCCGCCGGGTACCCTGCGTTGCCATTCAGCCGTTGGATTGCTAACTCAGTCCAGCTTCGGGACACGGGGTGCACACTTCCTGTGGAGCTCTGGATCCGCCTCGACGAAATGAAGCTCGACCACCCAGTGCTCAAGCTCCTGACCGACAAGGTACGCGTTTGTCTGCAGCGAGCGCAGTACGACGATGTATGACATGTAGTACAACTGCTTTGTGCGCGAGATCCTCGACGAGGCCGCCACCCATTTTTACGTCAAGCCGTACGCCGTGTACCACAGGTAACTTAGTCGGACCTGGCAGAGGCCCAACGAACGTGTGGCTGTTCTAGTGCATTTGACCAAGTGCTTTTGCTCGACTGCGACAACTTTGTGGCGGTGGACCCGACGTACCTCTTTGACACGCCCGAGTTCAAGGAAACAGGTATGTGCTCTGCCGCCTGCACGTCCAACGCGTCAAGCCAATTAGGCGCGATGTTCTGGCCGACTTTTGGAGCATGCGCAAGACGATTTTCAACATCCACAACAATTCGGTGCTCTGGGAACTCCTCGGCGTGCCGTTCGTCGACATGTTCGAGCAAGAGTCGGGCCAAGTGCTCGTTGACCGCACGGTGCGTGCTTTGCGAATTCCTGAAGAGTTGGTCGACGACGGCCGAGCGTAGATGAGCGCCGAGCCGCTGCGCAATCTCATGTTTTACAGCTTTCACGAGCCGCGCTTGATCGAGCTCTTGGACATGGCGTGGGGCGACAAGGACCTCTTCCGGTTTGCGTGGTACGATCGAGCGGCTCGTGGCCGTCTCGCAGCGTACGATACCATGATCTAGGCTGCGGGCCAACCAGCCTTTCCACATGATCCAAAAGCCGCCGGGGTCGGCCGGCGTCAAGCACGTCACGTACGTGAGCCACCGCGCGCGGCCTGTGTCATGGTTGTTGTTGTAGCTACGATCTCTTTTGCGGGCACACGATGGTGCAGCACGACCCGCAGGGCAACATTGTGTTTCTCCACCGCAACACGTACAAGCTCACCGGCTCGCCGGACGCGCCCCTCATTTGTACGTGTCTCTCGATCGGCCTCCATGACGACATGCTTCTGCAGGGGACCACATTCAGCAGTTCCGGCTGCCCGTGGCCGACGAGGCGTACGACGTGCGCGGCGCCAACGGCGGCGAAGTGTTCCCCGACTTCAAGCGGTAGGCGAGGAGCGATTGCGATGCTGTGGCAGTCATGCGCGTCGGCTTGTAGCTGTTTTGGCAAGGACACTGCGTACGAGCCCACGTTCCTCCTCACGCCGCTCAAGGACTTTGCCTTTGGCGACCTCGAGCCTTCGATCCTGCAGTATGCGCACGAGGCGTGGCTGCTCGTGCCCGACGAGACGGAGATGCCCGAAGGGCCGTAGAGTGACCCGAGATGATTTTAACCACAAGTAGACGCAATACACACACGCACGCCTCCTACGTCTCTGCAGCGTACAAGGCTACGGACGCGTCGTACGCCAGGAGCAGGCCCTTCTTGCGCGCCGGCTTGGGCGTCGGCGTTGCCATCCATCGGTGGTCGCAGCAGATGGCCTCTGGTCCGTCGGCGGCGGCGAGGCCGCAATTGTATTACCAATAAAATACGAGGTCCATTTGGAGAGGTCATTAAAAAACACTATACGGTGTTTGTATATGGACGAGGTTTTATGTTTTTAAAAAGGCGATGATAAAATGCATCGCGCTTCTCATTGGCCAAAAAGGCGCGCTGGGTTTCACTGGTTCGCAAGCATGTGGTGTTTAATGGTTGGTGCATGGCATGTTGGCGCCCGGAGCAGAGTCGAGTTCATTTTTTTCTTCCGCCCCCAAGAAAAGGTAAAGTGAGCTCTTGGATGGGCCGGCGCTGAGGTGCAAGTAGACACTACCATGGTTCAAGTGACCCCCGTCGTGAAGCGCCCGATCATCAAGAAGAAGATCACCAAGTTCAAGCGCCACCAGTCGAACCGCTTCAAGCGTGTGGCCGAGTCGTGGCGCAAGCCCAAGGGTATTGATGGCCGTGTCCGTCGCCGCTTCAAGGGCGCGATCCGCATGCCCAACGTCGGCTACGGCTCGAACTCGAAGACCAAGCACTTGTTGCCCAACGGCTTCTACAAGTTCACGGTCAAGAACGTCGCCGAGTTGGACATGCTCCTCATGCACAACCGCAAGTACTGCGCCGAGATCGCCCACAACGTCTCGGGCCGCAAGCGCAAGGACATCTTGACGCGCGCTGAGCAGCTCAACATCCGTGTCACGAACCCCAACGCCCGTGTCCGCGCCGAAGAAGCCGAGTAAGCTTTGTAGGAATGCACCATGGAACGAACGAGGAAGGATGCGACGCACGACGGCTCTTAGTGTGGACACCTTTTTTGCAGGGGTTAAGAAATTACCATCACATACACTTGGACCACGTTGTCGCCCCATCCGTCGCACTCGCAGCGCAGAACAGGCCGATGACAGAGCTCCTGGGCCGACGAGGAAACCACCGCCCTTGACACCCTGGCGCGATGTTTTGTTTCGTCTGCGCAAGTACCGCATCCTACTCAAGAAACTACCCCGGGTACCTGTAGTAAAGCCATCGCATTCGTTTCGCACTTGATACGTTGAAGACGAGCGCATTGCCTGCGATCTCTGTGCCTCTGAATTCATCCTGCAGAGTAGCCACTCTAGGCGGGAATGATTACCGCGCCGACTACAGTACAGGGCGTGGCGGGAGCAATCGTCTCTCTGGACCAAAACATTGACCGCGTCAGTGTCGTCACGCATACCAAGGAGGAAGAAATAGCTTCGCTGCAAGGCTTTCGTGGCCCGCATGCAAGCCTCGGTGCCCCCTGCGCACCCCTCTGCACATTTATCGACACGTGGTGGCCAGCGAATGGATTTCAGCGCTGCCTTGACACTGGTAGCAGAGTGGAGCAGAGCTTTAGAGTAGGCGACGCATGCCCTGAGCTCGACGCCAATGCTCAACTCGGCTTGTCCAGCGAGCCTCGTCGCATGCTCGACCTGTCCGCCCTTGAATATTCCCTTGCCGCCCTTGACGCTCCGTCCACTGGCGCGCTAGATGACCGAGGATGGTGCTTTTCATTGGCTATAATGATTGCGATAATATATTGCATCGCCCAAAACACATACATTTACCAAGATAATGTGTTGAGGTTGGAAGGAATAAAAATACGCCGGATAATGATTGGTGAGGACCTGAGCTAAGATTGCATTTGCTGCTCAAGCACCATGTCGTCGTCGGATGATGAAGCCCCGGAGCAGGTCTCCATGGCCGTGGCCAAGACCCAGGTAGACACGCTGCATGGGTCAAGAACGCTGGTGCTAACGACGCCTCTTTTGCGCAGGCCATCGAGTCTCGTGCATCTGAAAAGCAAGCACGCGCCTCGGCCAAGGCCACAGCAGCGCTCAAGCGCAAGCGGTACGTGGCCAGTTCCTTCCTGCAGTACATGACGAATTCACGCTCTAGTCAGCCCAAGAAGAAGGAGGAGCCCGTGATCGAAGCCTTGCCCGACGATGTCCTAGCGGCCGTAAGCGCAACGAGATTCCAGCGCATGCGATGCTCACCCGCTCTCTCGCAGGTCGCCGCGGCGCAGGACGAGCCCAGTGCCGATGCGGACGAAGAGCAGGAGGAAGAAGTGGTCGTCAACCCCAAGAAGACCAAGAAGACCAAGAAGAACTCGCACACGCGCCGCTTTGGCAACATCGAAGTCACCACGGTCGCGGCCCTTGTACGTACATGAAATTCCTCACTCGATACATGTACCGACCGTTGTTGTGCTCGTAAAGGAGGAAGAAGCGGCGCCCGTGACGGACTCGATCGCAAAGTTCATTGAGCTCCGCTCGGCGCCCACCGCAAGCGCGCGAACGACAGCAAGGCGCTTCTCAAGCCCGTTGTGAACAGCCGATTGATGAAGGCCAAGGCCAAGAGCAAGGCTTAAAAACGACGTAGATGCAACGTAGATGCGTACCTCTGCGCACTGCGACTTATATACAAACGACTTCTTTTTTTCTACGCAATCGTCTCACCACCCAGGCGTTTGCTACATCGCCTCCTCAAAATATGCTATCTATCATAATACGAAAGGGTTTCAGCGACCGTTGGCGTGAAACCTAACGGGTACAATGGCCGACGCCGGAGCGACGACGAGCACGCTCTTGCCGGGGCAGGACCCCGTCGTCACCGAGGCTGCGCTGCGCTACAGCCAGGAGATTCAGGCCCTCGTGCCAACGCTGCCGGACGAGATGGGCCTCTTCCGCCAGGAGGTCGAGAAGATGCTCAACGCGCTCACCAAGTCGCAGGAGAGTGAGCAGCGCCTCGTGCGCCGGACGCGGGAGATCGTACACGAGATTGGGACCAACCAAGACAAGTACGCGCGGGACAAGGAAGAGGAGCTCGAGGCGTACAACTACAAGAAGAAGGTCCAGGTCGAGATTGAAGTCATGTGGGGCCAGGTCGCCAACTCGCACAAGATCGAGACCGAGAAGCAGGCAAAGCTCAACGATCTCCGGACAAGTATCGCGATGCTCGAAGAGGAGCTCAAGAACGGGTCCGGCTGGAGCGAAGCGCAGGAAGAAGCAATGGCCAAGCTCAAGCGGCAGCGGGCCGACGGTGCCCGCGAGGTGGACACCAAGACGACCGAGCTGCAGCAAGTGCGGATGCAGGTGAACGCACTTCACGCGCTCGTGACGGAGGCCGAAGAGGAGCAGTTCCGTCTTGACGAGGCCCTCGCACGCGCCAACGAGGACGTTGCGGAGCGCAAGAGCTCGGCCGATAAGGAGACGCGGCGAAAGTTTGTGCTGGAGAAGCAGCTCAAAGCTCTCAAGTCGGAGGCCGAGCTTCTCAACGCCGAGCACAAGCGCAAGGTGGGCCAAGTCAAGGACGGCGAAGCTGTCTTGAAACAAGTACTACGAAGCTAGCATGCGAATCCGAGTCGATCCATCGAGTAGAAAGAGACGCAGCTGCGCGAGTCCAAGGCCCGAATGGAGAAGTACCTCAAGCAGTACGACGTTCTGTACCGCTCGACGCACCAGTTCACCGAGGCCATGGAGTCGCAGTGGCAAAAGTCCGTTCTCGTTCGTCGCGGAACCATCACAACGCTCTTTTAGAAACCAAGAAATCTTGGCGATGAACAACCACATGGAGACCGAGGTCGCGACGAAAGAGGACGTGATCGCCAAGCTCGTTACCGAGTGCACCAAGATTGAAGCGCTTGTCGAGCTCACGAAGGAAAAGATCGCTGACGTCAATGCCGCCAAAGGTATTGCCACAAATCAACTCGCCAATGAATTTCTTTCGAATTGTAGCCAAGGTCGACGCGAAGCGAGACACGTGTAAACTCGCGTTGAACGAGCTCGAAAACGTGACGATGGAGGTCGAACGCAAGCAAGGCGAGGCCGTTCGGAAGACGCTCGACGACCTCATTCGGCAGCGCGAGCTCGTGAATAAGATGCTCGTTCGCGCCGCCGACACATCCCAAGGCACGCACGACCTCATCAAGATCCAGGAGAACACGATGAAAAACCTCGAAAATGAAATCAGCGGGTACCGGCAAAGCGTCAAGAAACAGCGGTACTCATATAATACTCCTTCGTCATGGCCAAATCCGATGTAGGGACATGATCCAGCAGCTCGTGGCGGACCGCGATCGGTACGACAAGGAGGCTGAAGCCGCCAACAAAAAGTACCGCACCGCCCTCGAGGAGGCCAAGCTGCAGGACCTTCAAGTAGGCAATGACATTCATGTGCAATCGCCACCCTGCGGTAGGTTGTTTCGCTTCAAGACAAGATCAACGAAGGCGAAGCGCGGCTCAAGCAGCAGCAAAATTTGTACGAAGCCGTGCGCAGCGACCGCAACCTGTACAGCAAGAGTCTCATCGAGTCGCAAGAAGAGATCGCGGACATGAAGCGAAAATTCAAAATCATGAACCACCAAATCGAACAACTCAAGGAAGAAATCACGACAAAAGACCATTCGCTCGTGAAAGAGCACTTTGACCACCACAAAGTGGACAAAGTATGTCCATTCCCCACAGCATTGCTCGGCGGTAGGATCAAAAGCGTGTAGGACAAAGAAACGCTCAAGGCGGAGCTCACCCGCATCAAGAAGCAGATCCAGAGCTCGGAGCAAATCATTACGAATCAGGTACTTTTGTACCCGCGGGCATTGATGCTCAAGACTGTATTTGGTGAATGCAGGAGCAAGAAATCTCCAAACTGGCTTCCATTATCCAAGAGGCCGACGACGAGCGGCAGCGGCAGCTCAAAGAGTACAACGCAGTCATCAACGACCGCGACAACCTTCGTGCACAGCTCATTCTGCGCAAGTACGTTCCACGCCATCCGTTCCATATCCATTCACGGTCACATTTAGTGAGGAGCTCAAGTCACTCTATGAAAAGATCAAGATCCAAAAGTCCACGCTCAACATTGGCCAGGCTCAGTACGCCGAGCGCGTCAAAGAAGTTCGCGCGCTGGAGACGCGCGTCTTGGACCTCATGGCCGAGCACAAAAAGACGGAAGATCAAATTTCGTGCACGGGGTACGACGAGGCACGTGCCTCCACCACCAACAGGGGTTTTGTAGCGACCTCAAGAGCGAATTACTTCGACTCGAACGCGACTTGCTCCAAGAACGCACCAAAATCAAAGCCCTCTCAGAGGTCCACTGCCATCCACGATTTACCTCCTTTCGAAACGAATTGTAGGAATTGGACCACCCCATGAACGTGCACCGCTGGCGCAAGCTCGAGGGCAGTGACCCCAAACGCTTTGACATGGTACGGACCTTCGCGCTGGGCAATGTTGCCAGATCCTTCTGCCGTAGATCCGCAAAATTCAAGTGCTGCAGAAAACTCATCAAAAAGTCCGAGGAGGCGTGTATGAAGGGTACGTTGTCTAGATGTGGCTCGGCACTTATTTGGATGTCTAGATTTGCTCATTGTCGAGAAAGAAAAGCTGTATGTCGAGCTCAAGAACGTGTTGGCGCGCCAGCCAGGACCCGAAGTCGCCGAACAGCTTCTGGTCTACCAAGACAACCTCAAGAAGAAGCAAGCCCAAATGAAAAGTACCCATGGCTTCGCGATCACAAGAGACGACTCACTGCGACTAGATATGGAGAACGAACTCGATATGTACAAGGCCCAAGTCCGCGAGTACAAGCACGATCTCCAGCGCATCGACAAGGAGATGCTCAAACTCAAAGAAACGTGGCTCCACAAAGTCCGCGCCGAAGCCAACGAGCTCCCCGTGGACCCCGAAATGGACGACGTCGAGCCACCAGAGCAAAGCAGCAACCAAGGGTTGGCTGTCCCACACCACAGTTTGAAATCGAATGAAACGCGTCTGTGTCGTAGGGCAGAGCGACCAGCACCACCAGCCGTACCGAGCCCGCTCGACGAATCTATGTTTGCCCTAGGCAAATAGATGTGCTTGCATGTAGTACTATCAAGGTTACTAGTACTATCGATTCCACACGACGACGAGGTACTTGTGCAAATTGCCCCGAAATCAGGATCAAACCCGCATTACTTGCAAACGATATCTCGCGAATTTGACCTCTTGCAATGGGTGAAAATTTAGGAGAAGAATGGAAATATAGTGGCTGTCAATGATGGCAGGGAGGTCTCGAGCTTTTCGATCAACCTCAATTTGTTAGGTCAAATATTCAATGTATTTGTATCGTCGAATAATGGTATGAGACATGGAAGTGACACAATGGCCGAGTGGTCTAAGGCGCTGGATTTAGGCTCCAGTCTTCGGGCGTGGGTTCAAATCCCACTTGTGTCATCGTTTTCTGTTTTATTGATGGGGAGGAACGGACAGTTGGACAATTCAACAGGGTTTTTTGACGATATGCAGTAGTAGTATGATTTAAGGATCCTAAACGATTCTTTTGTACCGACCTCGTATGCGCAGTGCATGTACTATTCGGTTTTGGGCACGACCAACGACATCGCTACATGTATTACATGCAAGACTTAGTGCTGCTGCCCGTTTCTTTTTCGCCCCGTCTGAGGCGCCTCGCTATTGAGGCCGCACCACGCTCACGTCCTGCACCGCGACCCCCAGTCGCTGACGCCGTCTCAGTCGCTGGATTCTCTCGAGGACCTCAACAAACTGCGTAGCTTTGCCTCCGATCGCGACGCCTGGAAGATGGGCATGTCGATATGGACCGCACTCACGGCACACCGGTTTGCCACCAGGTAAGCCGGGCTCAAATCCCGGCGACCCTTACTTTCTCACGTGAGATAACCGTTGCAAGTCCAATGCAAACTCGTACGGATGTGACGCTGCAGTGCAGTGGATAGATGATGTGCGTGACAGGAATCAATCATGTAATGCATATGATTGGCCAGTTACGTTTGATCCATCCGCTGAAACCGACACCACTCCGACACCATTATCCGGATGCAACTCTGAGGTTAAAAACACCCAACTTGACGGCGCGCCGCGCGACTGTACCGTACTCGAATCCTACTAGCAACGGAAAAAGACACCCAGTGCAGCGAAATTGCTGGTCGTGGGAAGCTGATCGCGGGGCCGTGACAGACAGGCTCAACTGACTGACTGGCCCGTTGGCGCACGACCTCGAAGTGACGTATAATTTCTCACGTCGTTTTTCACGGCGTGAAATTCAGCCTTTCTTCATACGCCAGATGGCAGATCGCGTTGCTTTCGACAGCTCAGCTCTCGTGTGTCAACCTTGCATTTCAGAAGTGGCAAGCTCCACCGTTTTGAACAGAAGGATCGCCAAGCGCTACGAAAATTGCCTTGCACCTGGAGAAGGCAGCTGAGTGTTTGCTTGCCGAATTCCAAAGGGCTGGTCGGCGGCACTGGTCAGCTGAATACATAGGCGGCTATGTATGCAGTGCCTCTACACTGTACTCGTGACACGACAACAGCCACTCCGAGTTAAAAAATGAAATCTTGTTGCGATTGAAGTAGCCATCCCAAGTACGCTCAGTTCTGTTCTCAGTCGCGCCCACTGCGCGTGCTATTCCGCGTACCTGCATCCACGCCTTGTCCTACAAGCGCCGGGTCACCGCAGGCGTCGTTGCTGACGCCTCGTTCCCACGCTTGCAGGAGCAAAATAAATTCAATGGACCGCTTTTTGCAGCAGCGAAGTTCGCACATAAAAAACGCTCGCGTCGGCGCCGGCTGCTGGGGCCGAAGTTCGAAGCCGCATACAAAGCGCGAGTGTGGGGTCGACAACGTTGAGGCGCACCCGTGAGTCACGGGCCCGTCCACCGCGCGATTGGCCGTGGGTTCAATAGCATGGAGCCCAGTCAGTTCGGGGGCGCCAACCACACCGCCTCAAATCGCGACTCACCCCTCGTTACGAAGTCGATACCATGAGCACCATCCCGGACGAAGCCGAACTCATTGCGGCCGTGCAGCAAGTGCTCGCGGAGAACCCCGAGTTTGGCGCCAAGCGCATCGCGGCGACCGTCAAGGAAGCCAACGACTGGCAGGTGGGCGAAAAGCGAGGTACGACTTTGGTGTATATTTGAGTGGATGTGAAAAAGACCGGCGCAGCTGACGAGTGATATCCTCCTCTTCCTTAGTCGCCAAGCTCCTCAAGAAGCATTCTGTGATTTCCCCGCCGTCGCCGAAAATGGACACCAACCAGGAAGACCAAGTCGTCGTGCAAGTCGACACCAAGATCGTCGAGCAAGAAGCCGTCCCTGAAGTCGCTGAAGAAGCCGCCGTCGAGGAGCCTGTCGTTGAGGAAGAGGCCGCCGTCGAGGAACCCGCCGTCGAGGAGCCTGCCGTCGTCGAGGAAGCTGTCGTCGAGGAAGCTGTCGTCGAGGAAGCTGTCGTCGAGGAAGCTGTCGTCGAGGAAGAGGCTGCCGTCGAAGAAGCTGCCGTCAGGAAGCTGTCGTCGAGGAAGCCGCCGTCGAGGAAGAGGCTGCGTCGTCGAGGAAGCTGTCGTCGA